AAAGATTGGCTCCTTAAACCTCTAACGAATTTAATTGTCTTACAAAAAAAAAACAAAAAATTGAAAATCCGTCAAGAATTGTAGGCTATAGACCTTTTTTTTTTGAATAGTAAATTTCGTGTTTCTACCACTGTGCTACGAGACGGTTAAGTAACGGGTGATTTTTTAAGAGCTTGATAACTTTTTTTTTAAAAAAAACGCATAAAATTTGCAAAATCTCATCGGTTCTTTATTTGAAACGTTAGATTGGTCCATGACATTTACTTTTTGAAGATAATTTCATTTAAATGTTGACCGCGGCTGCGTCTTAGGTGGTCCATTCGGAAAGTCCAATTTTGGGCAACTTTTTCGAGCATTTCGGCCGGAATAGCCCGAATTTCTTCGGAAATGTTGTCTTCCAAAGCTGGAATAGTTGCTGGCTTATTTCTGTAGACTTTAGACTTGACGTAGCCCCACAAAAAATAGTCTAAAGGCGTCAAATCGCATGATCTTGGTGGCCAACTTACCGGTCCATTTCTTGAGATGAATTGTTCTCCGAAGTTTTCCCTCAAAATGGCCATAGAATCGCGAGCTGTGTGGCATGTAGCGCCATCTTGTTGAAACCACATGTCAACCAAGTTCAGTTCTTCCATTTTTGGCAACAAAAAGTTTGTTAGCATCGAACGATAGCGATCGCCATTCACCGTAACGTTGCGTCCAACAGCATCTTTGAAAAAATACGGTCCAATGATTCCACCAGCGTACAAACCACACCAAACAGTGCATTTTTCGGGATGCATGGGCAGTTCTTGAACGGCTTCTGGTTGCTCTTCACTCCAAATGCGGCAATTTTGCTTATTTACGAAGCCATTCAACCAGAAATGAGCCTCATCGCTGAACAAAATTTGTCGATAAAAAAGCGGATTTTCTGCCAACTTTTCTAGGGCCCATTCACTGAAAATTCGACGTTGTGGCAGATCGTTCGGCTTCAGTTCTTGCACGAGCTGTATTTTATACGGTTTTACACCAAGATCTTTGCGTAAAATCTTCCATGTGGTCGAATAACACAAACCCAATTGCTGCGAACGGCGACGAATCGACATTTCACGGTCTTCAGCAACACTCTCAGAAACAGACGCAATATTCTCTTCTGTACGCACTGTACGCATTCGTGTGGTTGGTTTAATGTCCAATAAAGTAAACTGAGTGCGAAACTTGGTCACAATCGCATTAATTGTTTGCTCACTTGGTCGATTATGTAGACCATAAATCGGACGTAAAGCGCGAAACACATTTCGAACCGAACACTGATTTTGGTAATAAAATTCAATGATTTGCAAGCGTTGCTCGTTAGTAAGTCTATTCATGATGAAATTTCAAAGCATACTGAGCATCTTTCTCTTTGACACCATGTCTGAAATCCCACGTGATCTGTCAAATACTAATGCATGAAAATCCTAACCTCAAAAAAATCACCCGTTAGTAACCGATTTAAAAGAAAAAAATGCGGGTCACCTTAATTTCGATATACCTTAGTTCTGAGCTGTGGCTGGTAAAAAAAAAACTTTAGACCAACCTAGCGCGCATTAATATTGTGTTCATTTGTTTTATTTCATTTATTTTATTTAATTTTGTTTAAATCAATTTAATTTATTTTTAAATCCCATTCTTTTTTTTAACGTAAATTTTTGTATTAATATCATATTGTCATTAATTTTGTTAAAACACTATTTGTGACACACTTTGATCTACAAATTTATCGATGACCTCATAATTCTACATGCATTCCAGCCACTAAACTCTCCATAGATATGTATGCCAAATACACCTCACTTGACTCCGCGAATATTTTTATGAAAGAGGTAACCAGCTATTACGTTTTTCTTGCATTAAGTGACTAACAATAAAATTCGTTTACTAGAAATACTTGAAACATCGTATGAGTCACTATCTTTTCTAAATAAACACAAGCCAATTTGATAAGAAAAACATTTTTGTAGAGTTGAACGAAGCAAGTGAACGTAATTGTTAAAAAAAGCGGTAGTTTTTGTATATATGTGTATACATACATATACTATGTACCTATTTAGGTCACTCACAAACACAAACATATTTACTTATACTAGTAGAAGCTAAGTTTTACACGGACCCTAATTCTAGGCATATACTTTTTTCAGTGAAAAAAAAAATGCGTTACCCAAAAATATCACCAAATATGTTGCACTTTTCTTCACCAGCTGCATTTTATTAATATTTTTCTTAAATATGTTTAACTGGAAAAATTATCTTCGTTGCAATTAAAGCACGAGTCGTTCGTAAATTTTAATGGGTTGACTATGATGGTCTTCGATGAACTAAGTTAAAAGCGCCAAACTGAGCCAATGCTTCTCAAGCAAATATCAGATAAGCATTCCAGTAAGTGTTGCACACTGGAAGTGATAAGATAAGCACCATAACTAGGTATACATATTTACATATGTTAATATGTTCAATGTACATACGTGCGTATGTATATGTATAAGTAACTGTGTATAAAAAGTACTGTTGTTGCGAAGCTTTGTGCCACAAACATCTATTACTGTTACTGCGCTTTGTGAATATATGTATATATTTTTAAATACCTACTTATCTTAACAATTAATGAACACGATTTTTTTTTTTGTAATTTTTCGTCATGTTTTTATTTAATTCTTAAATGCGTATTTTAATTTTTTCGTTTTTTTTTT